GTAATGAGTTAATAAAAACTTAAGTCCTTTTTAGGAAAGTAAGTACCCTTTTGTAGGCTAACAGCAGAGGATACACACCTCTGTCACTTTACTGGGGAAAGGATTGAACACATCCTGCTCCAGGGCTGCTGCGGTTAAGATGGGAAGCTCACTTTATCTTGTGCCTCAACTGGAAGAGTTGGCTTTGCATAGTACCAAGCATTCTGCGTTGGTAAAGGCAACTCAGAGCAATCCCTGAAAGAGAGGAAAAGACTAACACTGATCATCAGTGGACATTTAAAAATATTTACTAATTGTCTAGAAACACCATTTCCATCTAAGAACTGAAAACAATTGCTCTCCACCAAGTTGTGCACATACATACCTTTGATCAATTATGAATCATGAATAGTTGATACTGCTCTCAATACCAATGTTTCATCTACTTTACCACATTTGCTTTTTAAAACATTTAATTTGCTACTTAATATTGCAATAAGAGCATTGACAAAAATGAGGTAACTATATGGTCCAAGCATTAGCTTAGGTTTAAATGCAGTTTTCTAATTTCTAATCCTATGTTTTCCTCATGATTCACATTATTTCATCAAAAAGCCTCATCCCTCTGGCTCCTCGGGGGTTCATAATGGCACAAAATTTAGGTCTTGCCCTCTACTAAAGGGATAGAATTAACTTTTAAAAGGGGTGATGTTTGGTGCAGGAAAGAGAAAGAGAACAGAGAGAAGGGACCAGTAGATGACTTACTCCAGTCCCTCCCTTTCCCCAGCAGAACAGAGCAAAGATCAGAGGCCAGGGGCTTCCCTTTTCATAGGTCTGGGAAGAGACAGTTGTCAGAAGCTGCATGAGGTCTAGGTTTTGTTTTACAAATCTGATCTTTTAATCAAGAGGATCTTATTCTTTGGAAACACAGTGGTCCCCTGGGGCCACAACCCCTTTCCCCTTTGAAAACCTAAGTTCAAATTCTCTTAAGTAGAAAACTGAAAGGTTTAACTTATCTGCCAAGGCCAGCATGTAAGCAGTAACCACTCAGGAAAGCACCAGTCTGGGGGGACAGGCCATACTTCAGTCCACATCCTGTATGTCCTTTTTTAAGTTCTTACCTTTAAAGAGAGACTCCAATAAAAGGAACATTTGCTTTTGCAGATCTTTATTATTAATTTGAACCATGAAAAGAAATGATCAGTTTGAGTTTTCTTCCACCATTTAAGGATGTCCTGATACTGGCTTTGAATTTCAATAAATGTAAGTTAGGCAAGCACCCTTTTGCCAAATGTAGAATAAATCAAATGGGCTTCCCCCTCCTCCCCTGCCAGGTAGGACTAAGGAATTCAGCAGGAAAGAATCCCTGGCTGGGAGAATTATGCAGCAACACCCAGCACTCTTAGCTAGAGGTCCATCATGGCCCTTTGAGGGCTGCAGTTGTCTGTCCCAGTAAGAATTAGAAAATACATGAAGCCTTTTCTTGACTACTATCCAGTTCCTATTGAAGTTTATTACTGCTGAACGATTAGGTTCACATTAAGTTTACATGTTTTTTCCAGTTCTTAAGTTTCAGCAAATACCTGAATCATGTTTTACTACCTAAAAATTTAATGGAAATGCCTTTTAACTTTCATACCACTATGTATAGCAACTAACTTCCTTTGGTATTCCTAAATGCATTCTAAATGCATCTCTGTCCTATGGGTGTGGTGGGCATTAAGCCCTCATACACCCCACATTTACCCTGACCCTTTGAAGTAGTACCTGTGGCATAAGCTTGTTCACGCTGTGTTTACCCAGTTCCCCCTACCTTCTCAGGGGTTACCTCACTGGAAATCAACATCTGATCAGTAACTGAACCTTTTCAGAGCAGAAGAGAGCTGACCTTTAGAAGTGGACCTGTGGAATCCCTCACTTTCTGGTTGAATAGCACAAGACAGGTATTATGCCTTACTGGAAAACAGGGAGACCTTTAGAAGGGTGTTTTGAAGATTAAAATTTACAAGTACCGCTGGGCATCCTGACACACACTTGTAATCCCAGTGACTTGGGAGGCTGAGGCAGGATTGCAAGTTCTAGGCCAGCCTCAGCAACTAAGCAAGGCTGTGTCTCAAAAAAAAAAGGGGGGGGGGGGGGGACGGGCTGGAATATACTTGGTGATAAAGTACCAAAATAATTTTTTTTAAAAAAAGAATTATGCCCACATAGGTTCTCAACACATAATAATTTCTTTCCATCCAAAAAGGTTGAGAGATAAGCAATTAACCTTCACTGCTGACAGTAAATGGTTTATTAATCTTTTCCTGAGAAGGTCCAGATACATTAAATGCCTAGTTCAGGATAAGGACATGATACCCATGATCTTAACTTTCAACATTAATTTATCAACCTTAAGTCCAGCTTATATATAACTTTTAATATAAAAAAAATCAAAACAGAAAATGCTTCAGGTGGTGGTAGGATTATTTTGCATGTTAAAATGAAGAATGTGAATAGAGGCAGACTTAGGAGGTGCTCAGATTTTTATTGACTGAGTGAATCTGTACAGCCATGCAGTCTCTTGGAAGAAAAATAGGCTAGGAACCTATGGCTTGTGTAACCTTCGGGAATTGTGTCAAATGCTCAATGAAAAAAGCTGGCCCTAATTCAAAGTCCCTGGTTCTAACTGGGGTTCACACATACCCCACCCCCCACCTTTAGGCAATAAGCACTGTAACCTAAGTGGAAAGAAAAAGATCCACACCTTCCCCATAGAAAAGGAAGATGGATCTAGTGTCAGGCTCAATTAGACCCAATTGTGATGGCTCTCCAAAAAGGAACAATGCAGCTTTTGTGATATGCTCAAGTCTTAAAGCTTGGAAATTTTACAAAACAATCTTAACCCAAGAGAAACCTGGGTTCTAGCCCTCTTCCTGGAAAGAGATGCTGATCCAGGAAAGTTTGATACTGTTCTTATCAGCTCTCACTGGGATCAGTGCTTTTTTGGTGTTTAAAAAAAGGAAAAAAGTAATCTCAGAAACAACTTAGACAAACCTATGTGAAACCAGGAATATGAATTACTCCACAACTAAGAGCATTTATACTCACCAGTTTCCACAGCTCAATCACTAGGTGTCAGATTATTTGGTTATTGTCTACCAAAGGGAACTCTTTGCTAGAATTGTTGGTATTCATTTATCTGCATGAATTCAGTCTAAGAACCCTCAACTGAGTGGCCAGCCTCCATGTTGGAAGTGCTTAAAATGCAAATGTACAAGAACTCCTGGCCAACCTCCCCAGCCCCCAGGAAAGTGCTTCAATGCAGCCAGGCCTGGAGGGGAATGTTAAAAAGAGGGGTAGAACTGCCCTCCTCCTTTCCACTGGGACCCTCGCTCCCTCTGGGAGATTCAGTATGCATGACTGAGCGAGGAGCAGGCAAGGACAGCAGCGCTCTTTTAACTTTTCTGAACAATGGCTTCAGCTCCCTCCACCCTTCACATCCTCCCCACAGCCGCTCTAAGAGTAGACACCCATCTTTCTTCTTGGCCACCCCCATATCTCATGACCCATTTTTTCAGTATTACCCCTAGATCTAATTTCCACCCAAAGAAAAACTGGCCGTTTGAGGAAACTGACTTTTACAAGTCAAATTTTTTTTTAAAGTTTCATTTTGTTCAGTTTCTTTAAATTTCCATGTTGACAGTTTAAAACCAAAAACTATAGAATTCTCCACTCTAATCACATTTCTAGAAATGGAACATTATTTGGGTGTCAGTAAACCTTACACAAAATAATTTTTTAACCATGAGCTTGCTCACTCACATAGGATGAACCAAATCTATACCTTATTTCCTTCTATCTTAGTGTACAAAGAGCACCTCCTACTTTGGTATGTACCCAAACACTCAATGCCTTAAAAATAATTCACAGATACAAGTTTTTTTTGTGTGCTTTTTTTTTCAAAAACATACTTCATATTTCCTCTTTATTATATAAATATCAGTTTAACCTTTTAATGTAAGAATATAAACGTTTTAAGAGGATCTTTGTTATTATTTATACAAATTCACAAACAGTACAATTAATTGATAAAGGTCTCTGGGTTTCTTTAACTCCATGTTCTTGCATGTTGCTGTGGAGGATTCTAAAAAAATAAACAAACAAACAAAATCCAACAAAAATATACATCCTACTCAAAAGCGATTTTTTTTAAAGCCACAAGTCCCAACCCCCACCAAAATAAAGTCATCTATTCCTCCATTTAGAAACAGATCTTTTTAAAACCCACAAACTCCCATTTTATTAACAGAACACAGATAAGACGTGAATTTCAGTCTCCTCCCCTTCACATTGCCGGGGGTGCCCCAGGGTCTCTGTAGGCCAACTCTGCTCTGTACTTCCAACAGGAAGCCTCACTGTGTGACCTTTTTGTGGAGAAACTTGGAAGAGGGTGAGGGTAGGGCATAATTTGCATATATAATAATCATTTTCAAGACACAATCTGCATCTCAAACAAACAAAAAAGCAGTTCAACTCTCATTTCTCCCACACATTTGTGCTATAAATTAAGTCAAGATTTAAGAACACAGTTGGGTCCTCAAATCCCAATGGACAAGGAGAAAAAGAAAATTATAGCCAGAATGTAGAAGTAGGACACACTGGGTGGATGGAGGTTGGGAAGAAGCCAAAACAAAAAGATGTACAAACCCAATGGGCATCTTTCCAGTCTAGGCACAAAAATGTTTCAGTCTCAAAATATCTCTCTTGTAGAATTCCAGGGCTTCAGAGAAAAAAGTAAACTAAAACGAGGTAGCCAGACATATATATATATATAATATATATATAATTTATATATATATAATATATAGAATATATTCAGCAGAAAAAAAAAGACCATGACTTCCAATTTCTTCAAAAAACTAAAAAAAGGAAAGCAGATAAAAATAAAATGAGTGTTAATAGCAGAGTACTGCAAAAGGAGAAGTGATGAGAAGAGACTGGGATTAGTTACAAAGTGGAAGAAGGGTGAAAGGCCGTTGTAGTTGGGTTTGCTTTTTATACATTTCAAAATAAAAACCAGATCACAGTATTCAAACGAAAGCTTAAGTGAAGGCAGACATTTTCCTCAATTCCTCGGGGTGGAGAGGACTAGTCACTCCCCACCCCCACCCCATTTACAAATGCCAAGCAGTGGGGATACGGTAGCTGAAAACAGTCCTCCATCCCCTGCAGAGAGAAGTAGGTGAGTGAGTAGCAGAATCCATTTCTCCATCCGCAGGGAAAAGGAGAGGAAAATAGGGCAGTGGTAGAAGAGGAACCCCGAAGGCAATGGAAAGGGGCTGGTAGCAGGGAGGGGCGTCCGAGGAGGAGAAATGAGCTTGGGCTTCATGTCGCTGCCCTATCTCAGCCATCGCCATGAACTATGTCTAAATATGCGAGTGGGTGTATGGGGGGCGGTGGTGGTGAAGGGAGGGTGTACAGGGCAGGACAAGGGGAGCTGGTGCTGCCGCCCTCACCTGACCTTCTCACTGTCCGTCATTTGCCAGAGTCCCAGGTTGAGTACCTTGAGGCAGGGCAGCTGCGTGATGCGCTCCAGGCCCCGCTTGGTGATCCGGGTACAGCCATACAGGTCTATGCCAGTGAGCTGGCTTAGGTGCTCAGCAATCAGCTCCAGGCCCTTGTCCGTGATGCGCACACACTGTCCAATGTTGAGCGTGCGCAGCCCGTGCATCTGCCGCACCATGCGGTTGATGCCATCATCACTGATGTGGCAGGAGCAGAGGGAGAGGGACTTGAGGCCGTCCAGCCCCTGGGCTATGTAGGCCAGACTCTGGTCTCCCACTTTGTCACAGAAGGACACATCTAACCCCGAGAGGCGCAGGCTACCCATGGCTAGGTGCATGATGCCTGTGTCACTGATATTGTCGCAGGAGCGCAGGTTAAGGCTGCGTAGGCTGCCCATGTGCGACAGGTGCAGAAGACCTGCGTCTGAGATGCCCCCGCAGAAGCTGAGGTTGAGAAGCCTCAGGCCTGTCAGCCCTCGGGAGATGTGCTTTAGAGAAAGATCCGTGAGCTTCTGGCAGTCCTGCAGCGTGAGCTGCTCCAGGCCCAGGCAGCCCTCCGCGGCGCTGCGCGTCATGCCGGCCAGGTGCCCGATGCCCACGTCCGAGAGGTGGCGGCAGCTGCGGAGATTAAGGCTCTTGAGGCGCTGCAGACCCCAGGCGATGAGCAGAAGGCCGGTGTTGGTAATATTGCTGCAACCCCCCAGCTCCAGCACCTCCAGGCCCTTGAGGTACTGGGCTATTCGGCCCAGACTGCTGTCGGTGATCTGCTTGCAGAGGCTCAGGTTGAGGGCGCGCAAGGAGCCGATTTCCTGCACAAATGCGTGGCCCAGCCCGTTGTCGGTGAGGTTGTAGCAGCCGCTGAGGTTGAGGCTTTCGATGTTGGCCATGCCCTGGATCACGTAGCTGAGGCTGCGGCGGAGGCTCAGGATCTGCACACGGCGGATGCCCCGGGCCTGCAGGCTGGGGAACAGCGACGGGTTGGCCCGGCGCAGGTGCAGCTTGGCCTCCACCCCTCGCCATACCGACTTGTGGTAGGCGGCGTCCCGCCAGGCCGTGCACACCTGCGCCGCGCGCCCCTTGTCCCGCACGTCTAGGTAGCCGAAGATCATGGCCAGCAGCTCGGGGAACAAACACGAGATGTGGGTCTCCATCTTCCTCCTCCCCCCTCCGCGGTGCTGGGGGGAGGAGGCGCGGGCCCGCCGCTCCTGCCCCGCGGAGGCGACGAGCGCGGTCCGCCCCGGCCGCCGCCTCGGGCCCAACGGACGGCCCCTCCCCGCCTTCCGGCTCCGGCCGCCGCCGCCGCTCCTCCTCCTGGTCCGTCCGTCCTTCCTTCCTTCCTGCCGGCTTCGCCTCCCAGCCCTTCCCTCCCCCCGCCCCGGGCTCCGCGGGTCCTCACATCCCGGGCGGGGAAGGTGCCTCTCACTCCCGGCCGCCGCCGCCTCGGCTCTAAGCACGCCGCGCTCCGGCCGCGCTGCTCCGCCGGCTCGGCCGCCGCCGCTCCCACGCCCCCTGCTGCATCCTCCGCCTCCTGACGCCGCCGCCTCCGGCCGCCGCCGCTGCTGCGCGGGCCGGCGGGCCGGCAAGGGGGCCCGGGGCCGGGCACTCGGGCTCCGGGCGCTGGGGAGGCTTCCTGCTGCCTTTGTCTCTCGCCCGCTTTTCAAACCTCCCAGCCCCGGGCCGCCCGCACTCGGCCGCCCAGGCGGGGGGACCAGAAGGCCAATCCGGGCCACCGGGCGCACGTTCCTTCTCCCCCCGCCGTCCGCGGGCAGTTGGGAGCTGCCGGCCCCGGCACGAAGGACGCCGCGCGGCCGGCAGCCGGAGCACCGCTCGGCTCAGACCCCAGGGCGAGCAGGCGGGCCGCGCGTTTGGTAGAGTCCGGCACCGACCCCTCGGCTCGACTGTTCCTTCGCGCGTCCCCTCCTCCCTTTCTGGCTCCCCCCGTGCGCGCCCGCGCAATGGTACGAGCCTGCGCTGCCGGAACTGTCGGAGCCGTTACCCTGGAAACCGAGTTCTTCCTAGTCTGGTCGCCCCTGAGGTTTAACCCTGTAGGCGCCATCGGAGAGCAGCTGTCAGCAACGCGCTTCCCCACCCCTTCGTCTTTTCACCCCGCAGCCCGTTATTGAGCCAGTCCCTCTCCCAGCCACGCCCCAGCGCTCTTCCTTCTTTGGTGCAGCCCCTTCCCACAGTTATCCTGCAATTCCTGACCCTTACTTTACACCCTTCTCCCTTTATTTTTCTTGCAAGACTTTCCTCCCAATATCATTACTCAGTAATCATCACTCAACTTTCCTTCCTTTATTTGCTGTCCCTAATGGCCCTTAACACATCTCTTATCACACCCCCAGTTTCCTCCGCTGGGACGATTTTTCTACAGTTCCTTTCTCAGCAGTCTTGTGCCTTAAGCTGGGAAGAAATTGGGTATTATGCAGTTGAGTGTAACGCTCCAGTCCATTCTAGAATTTTCTAGAGTTATCCATCACTACTTCCTTCTAGCAGCTTCTGGTTGTTTGCAGACACCACTGTGTGTTTGCCTCAGTACTTAATGCATCAAAACTTCCTTCCACTTCCGCACTTTGCTGCCACCCAATGCCCTCCGTCTGCTTTGCTGCTAAAAAGGAGCACCCTTCCCTAGGCTTTGTTTTATCAGTTTCTTTCTTATCATCCTCAGGCTATAAATTCCATGGCCCAATTGTACTGATAGTCAATGTATTTGTATGTGTTGATACAAATGTACTTATTAGTAAAATGGAAGGACAGTTCAACTTGATGGAAGATGCCCCAGCAGGGTCTGTTGGTTTATGAACTGTGTTTTATGGAACCAGAGCAATGCTTAATTCTAGAATGCATCCCTGGATCTTAAATGCACATGCAGAGGATAGGATTTCAGAGTTTCATTTTAATTATTCCCAAGCCAAGTATTTTTTGAATAAGAGAAAATGACCCTGTATATTTTTAATTAAGTTATGAATTCACACAGCTATATTCAAGACAATCTGATTTATCTATCAGAAAAGGAGATTGATTTCATTGATTCTTTGGGAACCTGAACAAGATTTTGAATGGATTCCATATTCAGTGTATCACATTGCTAACCTTTAGTCTTTTCCTAGGCTACCAATACTAAACCCAAGTACATACAGATTCACTAGTAGCTATAGGACATATTTTATACCTCCACCCACTCCTCCTTCCTAAATCAGGAAATATAGAAGAAAAAAATCTTACAAGCATTTACTTTATCCATATTACATATACTATGAGGCCCATAGAACCATATTGTTTTTGTTGTTGGGGTTTTTTGTTTGTTTGTTTTGTACCAGGGGTTGAATCCAGAGGAGCTTACTTAACCACTAAGCCACAAACCCAACCCTTTTTTATACATTATTTAGAATCTGGGTCTCAGTTGCTTAGGGTCTTGCTATGTTGCTGAGGCTGACTGAATTTGTGATCCTCCTGCCTCAGTCTCCCAAGCCACTGGGAGCCACTGGGATTACAGACATATACCACCACACCCAGGGAGGCCCACAGATTTTTATAACCTTTCTGAAATAATAGACTGTACTTTGAGTCATCAGATGATTCCAGATGTGCAGTGACAATAAGTGTCACAACTCTAGGGTATACCTAGATTTACATTCTTCTGGGAGTTATTTAGGATTATATTCTTCACAGTCACTTCTGCTTAAATTTTTACCTTAAACTCTACATGAAAGTCACCTTTTTAATGTTACATGGATTTTTTACGTTTTATATGTTTATGTAAATGTCAAGGTCTTAATCCAAAGCACCTTAATCCCACTTAACACAAAACATTGTGCCAGGCAACACATGGGTGGGGGGGGCAGGTTGCAGATTGGAGTCAAACCTATAGAGAAGGAGCTTTGTGGTTTTCTTTTTCCTTTTCCTTTCAGAGGTGCCTGAAAGAACTCTCTCCAGAACTTGCCTCTTGGTCTTTGTTCTAGCAAAACTTTTTCTGGAGTTGACTCTTAAGATTATATTGATACACAGCCTTTTATTTAAGGTATTCAAGTATAAATTACAAAGATTTTCAGCAATATCACATTTCCTATTTCACATTGAATAAATAAGAAAATACAACATCAAGAAACATCTTAGGAAATTAATATTGGTGGGGAAAAAGAAGTGTGGTATTGAATGAGCCCTATGCTGAGTATGGAAACCAGCTGACTTATTTTGGCATTAAGGAAATGACCCCTTTCTGAGTCTCAGTTGGCTCATCTAAAACTAGTGAGATTTGACTAGAAAATCTTCTAGAACCATCCAATAGTAATACTCTGTGAGACCATGAGCTTAAAATGAGTCCTGCTGTTTCCTTAACTCTGAGATTATATATGATTTCTAATGCAGACTGCAAATTAAGAATAGTTTCACATGCAGTGGCTTCTTAAGAGTTTCAGTTTATTCTCCAATTTGGGACATAGAAATACATGGAGGGCATGTGTGGACAAGCAGTACTGTCTGAAAAGATGTATACCACGGTAGGAAGTTCTGCAAGACCGTTCATTGTTTAACATAGGTTGAGATTTTTTGTAAATGGGTTAAGCAAATTGCAACTAGAAGTTTTTTTTCTGAATGAACTATAAACTTATGTCTAGAAGCAAAAACAAGTTTTGCATGGGGAGTTTCTCCAAAACATTACCAAGAATTTTAAAGAAAATTAAATTCCCAGATAGAATGTGTTTGTCACTTGGGTGTGGCCTGGGAAAATTGAGATGCCCAGCCCAAAGATCAGGCTTCCTTAGAGATGCACACTTCCCCATTCTAAGAGGGAAGATCCCACAAGAAAGATCAGAAGAGATTTGTAGCTCTCAGTGCTTCATTCAACCTATCAATCAATCCAAAAAACTAGTGGCCCAGAGTCCACCATTATGGGTTGGGTCAAAGGGGTTAAGATATTTTGTGACACAATGCCTGCTACATAGTAGGTGCTTCATTAATGTTGAACCAAAATGAATGAATTAATGTCAGAAGTAATAATATCTTCATGACAGACTTTATATGTATCAATACTTCTCCAATATTTGTGGGTAACTGATAGAAATGGATATCTGAGGATTATAAAATGCTGCCTTTCCAATTTTAAGAAAGGCAAAGCATTTGATTCACTGAGTGCAAATAAAAGATTTAAGCAAAACAAAGCAAAAACCCAAATAACCCTATTAACAAATGAGCAAAGGACTTGAATAGACACACCTCTAGAAAAAGATACACAAATGGCCACAAGGATATAAGAAGACACTCAACATCTCTTAATTATTATGGAAATGCAAATAAAATAATAATGTATCCTCTTTATGCTACTGTTAATAAAATAGAAAGGAAGCATTGGTGAGAGTGTGGAGAAAGTAGAACCCTGGGGCACTGTTGGTAAGAATGTAAAATTGAGCAACTACTCTGGAAAATAGTATGGCCACTCCTCAAAAGTAAACACAGAATTACCATATGATTCCCCAATTCCACTTCTGGGTATGTGCCCAAAAGAATTTAGAAACAGGGTCTCTAAAAATATTTGTGCAATTATGTTCATAGCATTATTCACAATACCCAATGTCCACCAGCAGATGAATGGACTGGGTACTGAGGATTAAATTCAGGGGCATTTGGCTACTGAGCCACATCCCCAGCCCTATTTTGTATTTTATTTAGAGACAGGGTCTCACCGAGTTGCGCCTTGCTTTTTTTTTTTTTTCCTGAGGCTGGCTTTGAACTCATGATCCTCCTGCCTCAGCCTCCTGAGCCACTGGGATTATAGGCATGTGCAACCATGCCTGGCACAATGAAATATTATTCAGCATACAAGCAAGGAAATTCTGACACTTGCAACAACATAGATGAACCTTGAGGACGTTGTGCTTAGTAAAATAAGCCAGTCACGAAAGGACAAATATTATATGATTCCACTTACAGGAGGAATCTATGGATGTTAAAAGCATAGAAATAGTAGAATGACAGCCTTGGTTGCCCAAGGGCTGGGGATGAAGGGTGGGGAGTTGCTCTTTCATGGATATGGAGTTTCAGTTTTACAAGACAAAAAAGTTCTGGAAATTGGTTGCACAATAATGTAAATATACCTAACACCACTGAACCATACTCTTAAAAAGAGTTAAGATGGTAATTTTTATGTTATGTGAGTTTTACCACAATTAAAAAATTAAAAGATTCAGCGGCATGAACCTATAATCCCAGGCTGCTCAGAGGTGGAGGCAGGAGAATCACTTGA